CAGCCCCTCCTCCCCCAATTCTGTGAGGGTCTGGGGATTTTGGGGCTGGTTTAGAGGGGTCCCAGGGGGATTTTGGGGCCGGTTTTGGGGGTCGCCCTTTCCAACCCCCTGTTAGCTCTGGGAGCGCATGCGCCGCGCCGTCTTCGTGCCGCTTCCGCCCTCACCTCTCTGCAATTGGTCGTCGCACACGCGGCCCCGCCCCCCTCTCGCCTCCATTGGCCGAGCAGTGGCGCCGCCATTGGCCGTGCCCTCGATCGCCCCGCTCTCCCTCCCTCTGATTGGTCGGTGCCAGCGAGAATGTCTCGCTCTGATTGGGTGCCGGGACCGCGCCGGCGCGCTGCCGTACAGCAAGATGGCGGCGTCCATGGCGGGGCGGGCGGTGGCTTGGGGGGCCCGCGCGGTGCTCGGGGGGCGGCGGGGCTGCGCCGGTCCTGGGACCCCCCAGCAGGGACCCCCCGGGAACGCCCAACCGCGACCCCCCGCGGCCCCCCGCCGCGCCCTCAGTGGCCCCGACACCGCGGCCGTGCTGCGGGAGCGGCTGCGGCAGCACCAGGTGGGCACACGGAGGGGCTCAGGGGGCCTGGTCGGTCTCTCCCGGGGGTCCCCGATCGCCCTCGGCCACCCCCGGGGATACCCAGGTGTGTCTGGGGAGTCTGCAGGGGGCGTCTCGGGTGTCCCCAGGTGTCTCTGGGGGACTCCCTGGATGTCCCCACGTGTCCCTTGGGTGGTCTCCACGTGTCCCTGGGGGGGCTCCCCGTTGTCGCCGTCCCTCCCCTCTGTGTCCCCATAAGGTGTCACCTGTCCCCTCTATGTCCCCGCAGGTGTCCGAGGGCCCCCCTGGCCCCCCCGAGGACGAGGACCCCCGGCGGGGGGGGCTGCGGCGCCTGGCCCTGCGCCTGGGGGGGCTCCTGGCGGCCTCCGGGGGGGTGGCCGTGCTCTACGTGTTCGGTGGGTCCCCGCGGGGTCACCCCTGCTGTCCCAAATATCACCTCAGTGTCACCTCCGGTGTCCCCGGGATCTCCTCGGGATCCCTCCGTGTCTTCCCGTGTCCCCTCCCGTCTTTCCCCGTGTCCCGAATGTCCCCAACTCTTTCCGTGTTCCCCAAACATCCCCCCCGGTGTCCCCTGGCCACCCCCCCCGGTGTATCTCTGATGTCCCCAATGTCCCCAACAGGCAGCAACGCGGTGGACGAACACGGGGCCAAGGTGAGGGGACGGGGGGGGACCAAGGGGGGGTCTCTGGGGGGCTCAGGGACGGTTCTGTCCCCAAAAGGCGGTGTCTTGTCCCCAGAAGTGCCACTTTTGTCACCCAAAGCCCCTTTTTTCCGGCTCCATTTGGGATGTGGGGGAGGGGACAGTGGGATGTGCAGGGACATCAAAGGGGGTGGCAGGGGGTGACAATGACCCCCGGGGAGGGGACAGGACGTGGCACCTCCCTGTGAATTGTCCCTGTCCTGTCCCCTCCTCCCGGTGTATCTGCGGCCCCTCAGCATTGTCACCCCCCGCCCCAGAATGTCCCCACGCGTCCCTTGTGACCCCCAGTGTCCCCCAATGTCCCCCCACAGATCCCAGACGAGTTTGACGGTGGTGAGTGATGAGGGGGGGACACTGAGGGGACATTTTGGGGAGGGGGGGAAGGGAAGGAGGGGAGAGGGGACCCCCCTGCGATGGGGGGACACCCTGGTGACACCCCTGGGGAGGGGGACGGGGTGATAAAGGGGGGGCAAGGGGCACTCCTGGGGGTGGGGGGGACAGCCCAGCGACATCCCTGGGGAGGGGACGGGGGGAGGTCACCCCACAAGGGCCCTGTTTGTCACCTCCAGTGTCTGTTTGGGGCCCCTTTCACACCGCGGTGTGACCCTGGGGGGGTTTGGGGGCTTTCGGTTGGACTGGGGGAGGGGGATGTTCTCCACCCAGGGGTGTCTGTTTCCCCCCCGGGGACATGGGGGTCTCTGTCCCCCCCCTGGGGACATGGGGGTCTCTGTCCCCCCCTGGGGACACGGGGGGGCTCTGTCCCCCCCCCCAGGGACAGGGGGGGCTCACAGAGGGGGTCCCACAGACCCATTTGGGATTCGGCACCTCCGGCGGACCTACAAGTACTTCAAGGATTACAGGCAGGTGGGTGGGGGGCGTTTTTGTGAGGGTTTGGGGGGGGGCCCTGGATTTGGGGGGGGGGGGG